GGGGGGGTCCTGGGGTTGCAAAACCACCACCTCCTTGTACCCTGACTGTGCATGGGGTGTTGCAAAACCTGTACCCTAACTGTGCATGGTGGGGGGGTGCTAGTGTTGTATGGTGGGGTTGCAAAACCTGCACCCCCCTTGTACCCCAACCATGCATGGCTGGTTGGTGCTGGGGGTGTACCACCACCTTTTCCCTGTACCCCACTTGTGCATGGTGGGGGGTGCAAGGGGAGTGCTGGTGGTTGGGGTTGCAACACCAGCACATGTCCTGTACCCCAGCTGTGTGTGGTGGAGGGTGAGGTGTTTGTAGTGCGTCTCTTAAGAGGATTTGTTGCCGGGCTGGGTGGGGAAGAAATGGTCGGAGCTGGGTCGGAGGGGGTGTGCCCACTGCTCACCCTGCTGCAGGGCTGGAGGTGCCCGGCTCCCTTGCTAGGGGCTGGGCACACGCGGTGAGGGTAGGGGAAGGCAGCCCTGGGTGCATGGGGCAAGCGGAGCAGCCGCTCCTCCCACTGCTGGGGAGAGGGTCTTTGTCTGGATGGTCTCTGGGAGATGGCTGCCCCCCCATGCGTGGGGAGGGGCTGCCCGCAGCTGCTGGCGGGCGCTGGGTAGGGTGGGGTTTCTGCACCCCAGTGCCTGGCTCCGAGGCTGGGAGGCAGGGGTGGGGGGTGCCCTTTGCTCCAGCAGCGTTGTAGGGGAGCTGCCCTGGCACGGGGCAATGCCCAGCCACCCTGCCCCGGCTGCAGGGGAGGACTCCACTCCCTGGTGCCCTTGCTTGGCACACGAGGGTAGAAATGGGCTTGGCAGTTCACTATCCGCTGGGTCCGAGGTGGCGTTTGAGCCTGGCCGGGGCTGTGCCCCAGGGGCCCTCCCAGCTTGCAAGGACTGTAATGCTAGAATAACGCTCCTGCTGTTTCAATGGGGCGTGGGGAGAAAGGAGGTGCTCCAGAGCCAACTTGCTGAGCGAGCCTGGCAGGGCGGGTCTGCTGCTGCCCCACTGGATGGAGCACAAAATGCACCTGTGCGTGGCGTGTCACTGCCCGACTAGTTGTGCCAGTCGGGGCTGCGCAGGGCGGGGAGCTGGAGCCCAGAGCAGGGTGTCGGGAACTTGCCCTTCGCAACTCCTCCATTGTCACGCCTGCCTCCAGACAGACACCCCCACAGCAGTGCTGGGAACAGGGAGTGGCCAGGCCCGGCCTCTTTTGAAGGGAGGGGAGTGGCTGGCAGCAAGCGGGGCCCTCCCAAAAGCTGGCTCCACGCCGCGCCACTGGCTCCTTGCAAAGCTCGCTCTCACCATTGCCTTTTATGGTAATAATGTGAGACTGGAGCAGGGACTTCCTTTGTCCCAAATCTGTGCAAAGGCAAAATATGCAGCACTGGGCTCCCCCTCGCGGCGGGCTGGAGAAGAAGCACTGAGCAAACAGGAAGCTGGAGAGGAAATGGGTGGGGTAGGCGGCCGGGTCTGCAGCTCCGTCTTGGCAGGAGCTTTACCACATGGGGCTTTCCTCCTCCCGGCAAGACAGGATGAGCAGTGGTGCCTGGCAGCCCCGACAGACCACGGTCTAGGAGTGCCCACGAGCTACCCGGAGCAGCAACTCCAGCATGCTCACATTGTCTCGTGTTGCTTTGCAGTTAGTTCGCCATGGATGATGATATTGCTGCGCTCGTTGTGGACAATGGCTCCGGTATGTGCAAGGCCGGCTTCGCTGGGGACGACGCCCCTCGTGCCGTCTTCCCATCCATCGTCGGGCGCCCCAGACACCAGGTACGTGGGAGGGGATGGGGTGCTGCCTCTTCTGCCCTGGAAACAGTTTCCAAGAAATGGAGTGGCTCCAAAGACTCCAATTCCTAGACTGGAGAAAAAGCAACTCATTTCCGTTCTAGGGACACATCCTTCCTTGATCAGTTGATGGCTTGGTTCATCCAGCAGTTCCCCCTACTATAAGCCACTTGAAAAGCTGGCTGGCCCCTAGACCAAGTAACCAGTCTGGTAGACATGGTAGGATGTGGGTGTTTGAGTTTAACTAATGGTGGCCCCTTTTTTATTATTATTATTTCTTCAGGGTGTGATGGTTGGCATGGGCCAGAAAGACAGCTACGTTGGTGATGAGGCCCAAAGCAAAAGAGGTATCCTGACCCTGAAGTACCCCATTGAACACGGCATTGTCACCAACTGGGATGACATGGAGAAGATCTGGCACCACACCTTCTACAACGAGCTCAGAGTTGCCCCTGAGGAGCACCCTGTGCTGCTCACAGAGGCTCCCCTGAACCCCAAAGCCAACAGGGAAAAGATGACACAGGTGTGTACTGTGGCCTGAGCCCCCCACCCTCTGCCACTTGGCTCTAGCCTGTGGGGAAGCTGCTGGCCAGCCCTCCTCCCTTCCTGTCTTCATCTTTTTTCCCCCCCTCCCCTTTTTGCTATTCTTTGCAGGGTTTTCCTTTCCTGACCTGAGCCTTCTCTTTGCTGGATCTTGACAGGTTTTATTTGTTCTTCTAAGCTGGTTTCTTCTTGCTGCCTTGATACTACCAACTCCTCTAACTGCTGTTTCTGACTAGACACTAACTGTTCACCTGTCTTGAGTGATTTCTGCCATGTAGCTGTCTAGTTTTTTGGGGGGTGATGGAGAATGTGGCTCTCTGAAGCAGCTGTGTTGCACCTGGGCTTTTGCCCATGTTCTTAACTTCTTCCCAGGACTCAGACTTGGGTTGATGGGTTTGCTGTGGTAGCCCAGAACTGATTGGCATGGCCTCCCATTCCAGTGGACCCAGGATTGTTGTCTCTGGGGACATGGGGAATGGTCTAGCAAAATGACACTTGCATGACTTGCAAACAATCTCTCACGAGCCTCTTGGACCCCTTCTGTGAGCATAACCATCCTCTCTTCTCTTTCCCCAGATCATGTTTGAGACCTTCAACACCCCAGCCATGTACGTAGCCATTCAGGCTGTCCTGTCCCTGTACGCCTCTGGTCGTACCACTGGTATTGTGATGGACTCTGGTGATGGTGTCACCCACACTGTGCCCATCTATGAAGGCTATGCCCTTCCCCATGCCATTCTCCGTCTGGATCTGGCTGGCCGTGATCTGACGGACTACCTCATGAAGATCCTGACCGAGAGAGGCTACAGCTTCACCACCACAGCCGAGAGGGAAATCGTGCGTGACATCAAGGAGAAGCTGTGCTATGTCGCCCTGGACTTCGAACAGGAGATGGCCACCGCAGCCTCCAGCTCTTCCCTGGAGAAGAGCTACGAACTCCCTGATGGTCAGGTGATCACCATTGGCAATGAGAGGTTCAGGTGCCCTGAAGCTCTCTTCCAGCCTTCTTTCTTAGGTAAGTCCACTCCCATCCTGTTTAAGAGACTCTTACCCCCCCAGGCCTCCCATAGGTCCTTGGGGAGGGAGGGTGGGCCATGCTTCCTTACCAGAAGTGAGCAGATAACAGGATTATCTTGGTGTCCCTCCCCAGTGGTACCTCCCCCATACAGGAGTGGCTGAGGGGCTCTTCATAGTGGGGAAGTGGGGTGAGGAGAGCTTTTTACAGAGTAGGACTTCTGCTGAAGTCTTAGGTGTTTCCATTATACCTGTACACCAGGCTTTCTCAGGTATGTGACTGGCTAGCTGACCAATTCTTTAACTGATCTTGTTTCTGGTTGTCTTTTCTGGCAGGTATGGAATCCTGTGGTATCCATGAAACTACCTTCAACTCCATCATGAAGTGCGATGTTGATATCCGTAAAGATCTGTATGCCAACACTGTGCTGTCTGGTGGTACCACCATGTACCCAGGCATTGCTGACAGAATGCAGAAGGAGATCACAGCCCTGGCACCCAGCACAATGAAAATCAAGGTGTGTGTGTGTGTGTATTTTTGGAGTCTTCAAATTCCTACATCTGCCCTGTCCCAACAAGGGTTGGTGGTGCCCAGACTTAATGATTTACCTAAGATCTGGGTAATTCGCACCATAAGGGTAGTGCAAGGTCTTGGCACTTGCACTGGTGTAGGCAAGGCCAGCATCGTCCTAAGAGTGGTCTTTTTCTGGGTAGAATGGCTGACCAAATGACACCTCAAATCCAGGAAGTCTTGTGGGATTGTTAGACAAGATGCTCGCTTCAATGGCAAACCTAGTAGCTTGGTCCTGACAATAGAAACATCTGGGGTAGGTGATGCAGCTGGGAACTGTAGGCACTTCATATAGGCCTCGACTCTAACCCTCTCTCCTGTCTCCTGCAGATCATTGCCCCGCCTGAGCGCAAGTACTCTGTCTGGATTGGTGGCTCCATCCTGGCCTCCCTGTCCACCTTCCAGCAGATGTGGATCAGCAAGCAGGAGTACGACGAATCTGGACCCTCCATTGTCCACCGCAAATGCTTCTAAACCGGACTGTTACCACGTCACACCGAAACAAGAACCCATATCTGCGCATCAACCAAGACAAGATTGGCATGGCTTTATTTGTTTTTTTTGGCGCTTGACTCAGGATTTAAAAACTGGAATGGTGAAGGTGACAGCAGCAGTCTTAGCGTGTCGGAGCGATGGTCCCCAAAGTTCTACAATGCATCTGAGGACTTTGATTGTACATTTGTTTGTTTCTTTTTTTTTGGTTTTGTTTTTTTAATAGTCATTCCAAATATTGTATAATGCATTGTTACAGGAAGTTCTCGCCTCTGCGAAGGCCGCAGCCCACCTCGAAGGAGCCTGTACCTAAAGAGGGTTTTAGGTGTAACTGCTTGTCTGTAAATTATGTAACCCAACAAGTGTCTTTTGTATCTTCCGCCTTAAAAACAAACACTTGATTCCTCTTTTTGATTTGTCAAGCAAGCAGGGCTGTGTTTCCCAGTGGTAGATGTGAATGAAGGCTTTAGTCCCCCTGGTCAAGGTGTGTGTGTGTGTGTATTTTTGGAGTCTTCAAATTCCTACATCTGCCCTGTCCCAACAAGGGTTGGTGGTGCCCAGACTTAATGATTTACCTAAGATCTGGGTAATTCGCACCATAAGGGTAGTGCAAGGTCTTGGCACTTGCACTGGTGTAGGCAAGGCCAGCATCGTCCTAAGAGTGGTCTTTTTCTGGGTAGAATGGCTGACCAAATGACACCTCAAATCCAGGAAGTCTTGTGGGATTGTTAGACAAGATGCTCGCTTCAATGGCAAACCTAGTAGCTTGGTCCTGACAATAGAAACATCTGGGGTAGGTGATGCAGCTGGGAACTGTAGGCACTTCATATAGGCCTCGACTCTAACCCTCTCTCCTGTCTCCTGCAGATCATTGCCCCGCCTGAGCGCAAGTACTCTGTCTGGATTGGTGGCTCCATCCTGGCCTCCCTGTCCACCTTCCAGCAGATGTGGATCAGCAAGCAGGAGTACGACGAATCTGGACCCTCCATTGTCCACCGCAAATGCTTCTAAACCGGACTGTTACCACGTCACACCGAAACAAGAACCCATATCTGCGCATCAACCAAGACAAGATTGGCATGGCTTTATTTGTTTTTTTTGGCGCTTGACTCAGGATTTAAAAACTGGAATGGTGAAGGTGACAGCAGCAGTCTTAGCGTGTCGGAGCGATGGTCCCCAAAGTTCTACAATGCATCTGAGGACTTTGATTGTACATTTGTTTGTTTCTTTTTTTTTGGTTTTGTTTTTTTAATAGTCATTCCAAATATTGTATAATGCATTGTTACAGGAAGTTCTCGCCTCTGCGAAGGCCGCAGCCCACCTCGAAGGAGCCTGTACCTAAAGAGGGTTTTAGGTGTAACTGCTTGTCTGTAAATTATGTAACCCAACAAGTGTCTTTTGTATCTTCCGCCTTAAAAACAAACACTTGATTCCTCTTTTTGATTTGTCAAGCAAGCAGGGCTGTGTTTCCCAGTGGTAGATGTGAATGAAGGCTTTAGTCCCCCTGGAGTGTCCAGTGAAAAGCGGTGCCAGTATGTGGGGGAGGGAGGGGCTACCTGTACACTGACTTAAGACCAGTTCAAATAAAAGTGCACACAATAGAGGCTTGACTGGTGTGGACTCATGTTCCTTTTTTTTTTCTTTAAATGGCTGTAAAGTTGCATGCTGAGCTCCTGGAGTGTGGGTTTGGTGGTGGGGGGAAGAAGCTTGCAAGCTATGCATTTGTGCTGGCTGCTCTGTAGTGAAGCTCCATCTCTAAGGGCTTGAGTTGGTGGTTCAAAGGAAGCTAACAGCTAGAAGTGCCCCTTTCCTAGCCACAGCAGATGGTGCTGAGCTGTGTCCTGACCTTGCATGCCTATTTTGCCTCTCCAGGAACCAAGGTATGGGCCATAATGTAATTAAAAGCTTTGGTAGCCCTGTGCAGTTGCTAGATTCCTCCCCCACTACTGCAAGGAGGAGCATAGTGGTACTGTATCTGGTACAAATAAGATCAGTACTGGGGAGGGTGGGTGGTTCCTCCCCCTCCAAAACAACAGGGGAGTTGCTTTAATCTGTCAAAGGGCTGCCTTAACAAGCAAAGCCTGCATTTCTGTTCTCATTATTACTCCCACTCCATAGCTGGAGGTTCTCAAAAGTGCTGAGCACCCAGAGATACGATGAGTCAGTAGGGGCTTGGCCCTTGTCCTAGTGCCAGGTCTCCAGCAACACACTAGAAAAGCTAGGGCAGGAAGAGTTGACTTGGCACCTTGAAGCAACTGGATGTAGCCCTTCACTGCATGGCTCTCAGACCTACTTAGCTGATTTAAAAAAAAAAAAATCACTAGTTCTGGGTTTCCCTTCCTCTTTTCTGGTTGTGGGCTCTTTGAAAGATCAAATATCCTCACAAAACTACCCATAGATCTGGGTTGAAAAGATCTGGGTGCCCAGTGCTTGGAAGTAAATGTGAGTGCTTGTGATTTGAAGGATGCCAGCGCAATCTGTAGGTGCCTGGCCCTGTCAACAAGGGAGCACATACAAGCCTAGAAGCTTGCCCATGATGCCAGGGCACTAGTTCAACTGCATGGGTTAGCTTTGATGTAGGTGATAGACATGTCTCACAGGGAATGGGCCTTGTTCCCAAGTGCTCTTCTATGGACGTCCTTGTTCTGAAGAGCTTTTGGTGCCAGTGGCTGCATCTGGCTGAAGGATGGGGGAGGAGGGTCAAGAGGAGGGAGAGATGCATGGGCGGAGTGGGGCATTACTATATGCCAGTAACACGTGAAGTCCCAGCTGAGACCAGGGCCCATTAGTGCAGGCACTCTCGCTAATGCATATACCCAGTGAGAGCCCCTGATCCAGCCTGTCTGAACGGAGCAGACAGCCAGAGAAGGCAAAGCCATTTCCCCGGGTTAGAGAGCTGGGAGCAGAACCAGCTTGAGTTTCAGCCCAGGGCCTGCCCAGTTCTCTGTGCCCAGCATGTGCTGGGTTCTCCCTGAGACACTAGCGTCCACCTTTGCTTCTGCACAGGGAGCCTGAGGGACTGGAGAAAGCCAAGATGTGAAGGCAGCAGCAGCTCAGTTTGTTTGTGAGACCGCGGAGGATGTCCCAGGCCAGGTCTTGCCCTTCTCATCCAGGTGAGATGACAGGGTACTAGTCTGTGCTGTCTTTCTGAGGTGTCTTATCGCCCACCTGCCTGTGTAGCAGTGATTGTACCAGGCTAATGGCAGAAAATGGGCTGATCTCAGGCTTGAATTTCACTTCCATCCTTGGCCTGTTCTTCCAGGGCATCAAGCAGCATCCAGGAGGCCCACACCTGTGCTGCAGGGCCCTCACTGCCTTACAACAGGGCTGCATGTTCCACACAGGATGCATGGCTGTGCTCTGGAGTCTCCTGGGCTTTGTTCAATCTGTCCTAGTCTCACTAATACATCAGCAGCTGTAGATGCTTATGGAAGATCACAGATTCCAAACTCCTGCCTGGGGGTTAAGGGCTGGTGTAAAGTAGTCTCAAACCAGGGCAGTGCTGTGCGTTGAGCTTCTGGGGGCTCAATTCTGCTGTTCCTCACCGCTTGCTGTGGAGCGGTGGTCGTGATGCACTTAAGGGTGGGGGGAAAGGAACGCTTCTTCCACAGGAGCTGGACCAGGAAGAGAGGATGGATGTGCACATGGCTAGGGAGAATCTGCAAGGAGGCTGCCTGCCTGGGGACTGCACGTGAGGAAGGCCAGGGCTGTAGAAGGGGTTTGGTGACTGAGCAGGGCTGCCTAGCAGTTACAGTCAAGCTACCCTACAAGGGCAGAGGCAGTATTTAGATGCCTGTGGTGTATCCTAGAAACAAGGCTTCATGAAACATTTCTTTAATAAAAAAAAAAGGGAGCTTTCCTGGCGAGGCCGTGCGGCAGCAGAGCACGAAGACACTGCTTCGGTTCCTTGAACGAGGCCTGGCAATCACAGCTCTTCTGGGCATGATGTGCCGGAGGGAAGAGTTGTGCATCAAGCAGGGGAAAGCACTGCACGTTGCTCACTGCTCCAGCCTCTGACACATCGGGGAACCCCTGGAGGTGCCTTCCTTCCTTGGGGAGATTTGGGCAGGGGACACTGCTTTAACCAGACCACTACCTAATGCTGATTCTGAGCTAGGAATGATTTTCTAGCCACTTTTGCAGGTGGGGTGGGGTAGAGGAGTATCTCTGCACAGATACAAGACCTGCTGAGTCAGCATGGCCTGACCAAGGGCGGAATCTAGGGTTTTAATCTAGAGTACTCAGTGCTACATAGTGTAATGGGTGGAGCAGAGGATGAGGAGTCAGGGAAGCCTTTCCCTGTTCCTTTCCCTA